CTACCTACCTACCTACCTACCTACCTACCTACCTACCTACCTACCTACCTACCTACCATACCTACCTACCTACCTACCCACCCACCTACCCATCCTCTTATTTTCTTGAACAAAATTGCTTTGCATATTTTATTGAGTATACTGTAGGCAAAATTTTTGTAATATACAGTCTAAGACATTATTATAACGTTATCATTATTTATTTATTCAGGTCAAATTACTGATATCTATTACCAATAGGACAGCAGAGCTCATCTCTTAAAATTTCACTACTTTATTCCTATTATTAACATTATAAAAGTATTCATTGTGTCATGACTTGGAGTGAAAAGAGGATGAAGGTTGAGTTCAGTATACTTGTTCTCTTTTACATATTTTTTGAATTATTATTTTTTTATTGAAATATGTGCACTGCAAACTATTAAATCAAACATAAAAATTGTTATCCTGAACTAAATCAAACAGTTCAGTTTAAAAGATTTAATTTCAGTAGTTTTCAAAATATATTGAAATGCAATTCAGAAATGCAGGTAAGTACTCAATGTAAACAAAAAAACTCAGCTGAATCCACCAAAAAACACATGGGATTTTGCCTACAAACAGCTTTTTTAAATTCATATTAGTTATTAGCATTAAAAAATGTTAATTTTGTTTCTTACTTTATATTTTTGGGCCATTTTAACTAAATTGCATTTAATCTGGTCTGCGACTATTACTTTTATTGTAACTATTTGTCCATCATCCCTCTGTTTACTGTCTCACTGTGCTTTATACACTTTCCAAGTTTTATCTTGTTTTCTGTCAGTAAGTAATAAAAGACATTTCTCTACTTACTGTTCTTTTTCGCTGTGTCACGTGTCAGAAACAAATGCAGGGGAAACAAGGAGAATGGCACAGGTAAGTAGAACGTTGTCAGTCGAAAGGTGTTCAGAGACAAAAAAAAACTGTTGTGGAAACTACCCTTACCTGGGGTGCATGCTCCTCTGCCTGTCGTTGGACACCCAGCGACCGGAGCCGCTGCTCATCACTGTGTCGGTCATGCTGCACGACTGCAGTCTGCAGAGAGAAAAACACAGAAACAGATATCAGCTGCAGAGTCAGCTTTAACTAAAAAGATGCTAAATCTGTTTTTAGAGCTCTTGCGCTGTGTCATCCTGGACAGCTTCCTCATAAAACAAATGAGTGTTTCTAACAATGATATTGCCAGTGTTACAGTCCAAATGCCAGAGTGATGGAGTTCATTATAACAGCCACACACTGATGACCATCATGAGCCATACAAACTACAAAACTCAACTATTATTTCCATAAATTGTTGTCAGTGATTCAGCAAATCAAGCCTGGAGAAAATATTGCCACTTTCAGTGGGAGCATAAGCACAATTATCTGAGCCAAATTCAGTCCAATCAGTACATCTCTTCCTGCCAAGCCTGTGTGAACACATTATTTCCACTAACAGAAAGAGATAAGGCAAGAACAGAGGAAAAATATGGAACGGGAGGCATGATTTTTACCAGTCTGTAAATAAAAAAGCTGAAAGTATGCTGCCATGTGCAGAGGTGGGACAGAGAGGTTGTGGTGAGAATACAGCAAAATGAACGATGCTTTAGACACAACAAATTGTGCATTAGTAACCAGAGAGGAGTAGAGCTGATGTGGGTGGGCTGGGTTATCTGAAATTAGATGTACCTTCTGTAAAGACTGTGGAGGTATAGTTAAGTAAATTAGGGCTGTGTGATAAATTAAATGAAGATTGTAAGTGAAACCCAAGAACTGCTTTCACTGTGAGTCCACATAGATTTGACGCATCAGTGTGTGTTGGATGTCTATCTTTGTTTGTGTGTGTTTATACAGGTGTGTGTCTGTAAAATGTCTCATAAACTATGTGATGGTTTTACATGAAACAAACCGAAATAAATCATTAAAAAACATCTACAACTTATTTACTTTTGGAGCCAACCTGACTGAACGTGGTCGCCACATCCCATAATAAACACAAAAATGGTTACGACTCTGTCGGTTTGACAGATATTCACCTAAAATTTGGTGTGGTAGCAGCTTAGAGTGATCCACAATACACTTTATTTCATTAGCAAAATATCTCATGAACAACTGGGCAAATTTTAATAAAACTTTCAGGAAGCAATTATTAGATCATCTATCACTAATTAACTTTCAGAGCCAGTCCAATTCAAGATGGTCTCCACATTCACGTGACCTTTGAAAACACATATAGCTACAAATGAGTCAGTTTTACAGATGATGAGCTAAAGTTTGGTGTGGCTGTAGCTGAGACACATTAACAACATGGCATCTCGTGATATCACAAGATTTTCAAGGTTTGACCAAAACCCACATAGCAGACAGATGTGGGCCAGATCTGGTGTCTAGCTGCTGCTGCTGGTTTTTAAGATGGCATGCCATAACTGGCCCAGTAGTGGGTTAGTTTGTGTGGTGCTGGCCCGTGTATGAACCGCCTCTGGCAAACCACATCTGGGCCACTTAAGAGCAATCATTCTTTGCGGTAACTGGGCCAAGTGTTAGAGTGCTTAGTGCATTGTGTGGGCCAGACCTTGGCCAGACAAAATTCACTATGTGGGACGACTACAACGCCATCGTTTATATACATACTGTACAATGATCTTTGTCTAAAACTCTGGTATGAAATGCAGCAAGTGCTCCCCTTCAAGATCAGCACTTGACTCTTGGTGGACGAGGAAGATTTGAAAGCTGAAGAGTAGTTTAAGGATGGTGGTGTTAGAGTAGTAAATGATAGAAGATAAGATGCTGTAGCCAGAACAGACTGAGCGGCGTGATAATAATGATTACACTGGGAAACACTGAGTGCCCTGTCCATTTGATACACCATCACTGTAATTCAATCTCAGAGTGGTGGTGGTGGTGGTGGTGGGGGAAGGGGTGATACAAAGATGTCAACAGAAAATATGGCAAATCTGCTGTGTGTGGATGTGTCTGTGTGCCTCTTTGAGTCTCTGCCAGACAGTACACCGAGAGATGCTGCAGACACAGTATGCACAAAAAGGGAAGTGGCAGGATTCAAAGAAGACCAGCAGACTCCAGACTGGATCAACACGAGGAACTCAAAAGCCCCTCTGGAGCTGTGATGGTGCAGGATAAGAAGATTGCTTTTATTGGTGACTACCAGCAAGATCCGGAGAGCAACACCGGGGGATGTCAAATGATAACGTGAAAAGAAAACACACACAGAAAAATCAATGCATTTCATTTGCCATCAGCTTTAAATTTATGCACAATCGTACATTGAGGGAAGTGAAAGAGAGTGAGATCCACAGATGATAGATTTTAATGCAACTCTGGAAAGAAAGTGATCACATTCACAAGTGATTCACTTTTGGAGTGATATTGATTCAGGATGACCCCCACAGCCATCGTTAGCCTACACAAGTATGGAAATACATTAGTGGTAATGGCAGATAATGAGCTTAAATGTGATGTGGTAGTAGCTGAGAGTCATGTCCCTCTCTTCGCTCACCTTTAGTCCTGACTTCTAATAACCACATGTATTGCTTTAGTCATCCTAACTTCGCTGGCTCAGTATACACAGTTTTCTTTTGTTCCCACTCAGATACATGTTTTTCACCATGTTCCCATTTTAGATTTGTTTTCTTGTATCTAATTTAGCACCTTGCTTTTGGTTTTAGATCTCTTACTTGTGCAGCACCGTGATGCCTTTTTTTAAATAACTGTTTACAGTTTTGTGTCGTCGTCACCCCCCCCCCCCCCCCCCCCCCCCCCCCCCCCCCATCTGCCTGCCTCTGGGTCGATATACAGTATGAGTCTTTTTCAACACACAGCAAGTCTTTTCCTCACCCTTCCAGCAGCAACCTGACAGGTCACAAATTACTGTGACTGTACTGCACTCCGTTTGAAGCTCTAAAAGAACCATCCGTCTTCGCTCGTGAATAATCCCCCCACTTTTTGTCTGATGTCACTGTCCTGCACAGAGACAGATGCAAGGCGGTGTTTGGAGCTGGAGTGAGACTAGCCTGAGCTTTCTATTAGCAGGAAAAGATGTCTGTTAGTGATAAAATATCCCCTGGTCCCCTGAATGGATTATGATGAAACATTTGCAAAGGAATCATTGAGTGTACAACTTTTGGTGTCATCCCAATTGAAGATAGCTGACCCTAGAAAACACAAAACTGCGGTAACTCCATCATTTTTACAGATACTGAGCTAAAATTTGACGATGACACTTAATCTCTAAACATACTCTGAGCATGCTGAAACTGACATAAAAGGCATTGGGCAAAAAGGAATACAAGGCCTTTACTTGTAAAAGAAAAGTGACATTTCCTGTTAAAACGGACATATCCTGCAAAATCCACTTTTTTAGCCATTAAATAAATTTTATTGTGTACTTGGAGTCTCTAGGAGTGCAGAAAAGTTTAATTTAGTCTCTCCCTGTGCTGTGTAGATATCTTTATATTCTTTTCAACCCGTTCAATTTTCTCTATTTTGTATAACGTTTTCTGAACTATTACTTCTAATTCTTTGCGACAGAACAGATAAGGTCTGTACCTACCAACTGCAATTTGATTGTCTTCATTCTCCTCTGGCTCTGGGTCAGACTCTGGCTCCAACATGTAAATCTGGATGGACAAGTCTTCCCTTGCTGACATCTTTTAATTAATTTGTCTATCTATTAAACAAGACTGGACAGCTCTGGAAGCTGGAGGTGGGCGGGGTGTGAAGCACCTCGTTTGGATTTAAAGAGATGGTATCAAAATGAGCTGCTTTCAGACACACCTAAGAAAAGGGGTGAAAGAGGATTGTGGAGTTACGATAAGGAGGAATTCAGACCTAATAACTGCAGTTCCACTGTATGTAGACACCAAATGTGAAAAAAGAAGGATTTAAATGTATGATACTGTATGTCTCCTTTAACAATCAGAATATATCCTAAGTCTGGTTAAAAGGCTTACACTCACACTTGTCACAGAGCTGTCAATATGTAGTCTGGTGCGTCAGCTGTGTATGCACTGCTGAGGTTGATTACATGAAGACCAATTATAATGGTCCGTCTTGCTCAGAATCTCATATTGGGTGTTTTTATTCTGCAGGTATGACATCACCGGAAGCCTCAAAACACCGTCCTCTGAGCTGCAGAGACTATAAATGCAACTAATCTGCGTCATCTGTGACCCCGACTTGGTGTAATAGTCATCTCGTACGTCTTTTCTGCCTGTAAAAAAAAATAAATGACTCAGTCAGTTGGTGGATTTGTCTCTGTTGAGTAACAGATATCCTCTTGTGTATTTTTTTCTCTAAATGGAAAAGAATCTCTATGATGATGCTTTCAGGCTTGGCAGTCTGGATAGTAATACCCAACACCTGTTCCAACGACCCACGGCGCTCAGTAACAGATTGTGTGTGAAGTGAAAACAAGAAATAACCGGAGGGAAAGCTCTCATCTCTGGGCGGTCTTCTGCTCGATGGCAAGTCATCCGTGCAGCTGGATTTCTCTCTACAAAGAGTTTTATATTCAGGTGAGGAGGACATGTTTAGTAACTTGTATCTCCAACCCTCGGGGAGCCGAAAGGAAATAGTCGACACTGATCTGCACAAGCAAAAGCTACAAATTTACCATCAGTTTGCTGCTACTTCATCTATCTGTGTGGTGAACTGAAAGGCATGAGCTCAGATTTAATTTGTTATGTGACTTTTACAGGTTTGAGTGGAAAAGAAATGGACTGAAATGAAAGCTCCTTGTGGTGACAGCTCAACATTTTGTAAAAATTTTAGTAGCCTATTTGCTTGAGGAAATGAGATCTGAGAAAAGCAGGCAGAGTGACACCAAGGCAGCGGGGCTCTGATGGATTGATCCGACATGGATCATTATGGAAAGAGCACAAAGAGCTCAAATGGGGGGATGGGGATGGAAAGACGTCATCTCCTGTGGCTTGAGATCCATTTGCTCCAATGTTTTTGTTTTCCTACGAAACACACTTTGCCCTAAATACAAATGGTTTTATTGGTAAATTGACATTTAAAGTGAAGAGGTCAAACTACAGTTTATTACATGTTATTCTTAAAAAGATGGAAAGCACAACAACTTGAGAAATTAGCATTTTCTGTGAAAACCCAGCGTGAGTGCTGAACGACTGCTGAAATTCGCTGAAGAAACTTAAACTAAGTTAGGTCTCAGTGTATGAATAGTTTATGAAGCTGTCTTACTCAGCATTCCTTTTAATTGCATAAATAAATAAATAAATAAATAAATAAATAAATAAATAAATACCCAAAAATCAACCGAACTTCTTGCAGTTACTTTATTTGGATAGTCTTACAGAACATCTAGGAAAAATAAGAATTTTAAATATCTAGAAAGAAGTTCTAGCGTGTTCTCTGTTTTTGTTGGTTGGAATCTGCCAGGGCCCTTGTTGCTGATCGTGTTTGTTGTGTTTATGGACTAGATCTCAAGGCAGTCATGGAGAGGATGATGTCTGGTTTGGGACCCACGGGTCCTGTCTCTGTTGTATGTGGATGATGTGGTTTTGTTGGCGTCTGTGGGCCAAGACCTTTAGTGTGCACTGGGGTGGTTCACAGCCAAGTGTGAGGTGGCTGGGATGGGAGTCAGTTCCTCTAATCTAAGGCCATGGTTCTTGACTGAAAAAGGATGGAATGCCCCCTTCAGGTTGAGAGGGAGCCTCTGCCTCAAGTGGAGGAGTTTGGCTTGCTCATGGGGGAATGGTAGGCTGGAGGGGGAGATAGGTGAATGGATTGGGGCCTCATCCTCTGTGATAAGGGCATTGCATCGGTCAGTCATGGTGAAGAAAGAGCTGAGTTGAAAGGCAAAGCTCTCGATTTACTGGTCTGTCTACGTTCCAACCCTCACCTATGGTCATGAAGCATGGATCATGACCAAATGAATGAGATCCAAATTCAAATGGTCCAAATTAGCTTCTTTCGTAGGATAGCTGGGCTCAGCCTTAGGGATAGGGTGAGGAGCTCTCTCATCCAAGGGGAGCTTTGAGTAGAGCTGCTGCTCCTCTGCATCGAAAGGAGTCAGTTGAGGTTTGGGCATTTGATTAGGATGCCTCGTGGACGCCTCGTTTGAGAGGTGTTCTGGGCACATCCCACTGGTAGGAGGCCCCAGGGAAGAACCAGGCATTGCTAAAAGGAATACAGTCCCCTCCAAAAGTCAAATTCCCGTATATTAGTTGTGTACTTAGACACTGTGAAAGTCTCATATATCAGATATTCATGTCACCTTTATATGTTCATGTAATAGATAAGCATCAGTCAGATCGCACTGTTTACAACTGAAGACTCTAAAGTCACATTATTTCTGCTGATGCTCAGCAGAGTGGTTTTACTCTGCCCAGCTTTTTCCCCTTAAGTATTCATCAATCAGGCCTCTGACAGTTTAATAAACAGCTGAGCGACACATAACACACATTCACACTGGCTGCTTATATCAGCCTGCATAGCTGAGCACAAGTCTACACGCATCACTCTTACTGTCTGACACACACACACACACACACACACACACACACACACACAC